AAGTTTGGTAAAGTTGTGATGTCAAATTCTTGCAAATTCAAGCTTAATAGTTTGCGCGGAGCTGTTGTTAAACTTTTTCGTCAAGGAAAATCTGTGTCAGAGATTGCAAAACTCTGAATATGGGGAAATCTACTGTGAGTGTCTCAATGAAACGATTCCAGGAACTTGGAACGCTAGAGGACCGCCTAGGGAGAGGGAAAAAACGCACCGTTCGGACTCCACAAATGCGCGAGACAATCCGGCGGATCAAGCGAAATTCAACAATTTCCATCCGAAAGTTGGCGAAATCACTGGAAATGCCGAAATCTTCCGCTGCTGCCATAGTTCATGATGACTTGAAGCTTAAATCATATAAACTATACAAAAACCACTACTTGAATGACACCATGAAAATAAATCGGTTCTGAAAAGTTAAGGTTCTTTTGAACCGGTTGTTCGAGGGCCGCCATCAGTCAGTGCTGTTTACCGATGAAACAATTTTCACTACTATATCGAGCAGCATCACAACCACCAGAATGATCGAAAGTTGCTTCCTGTTAGTTTTAAAAATCGAGAAAGTATTTCAAGGAGTCATCATCCCGCTTCCGTCATGGTTTGGGCTGGAATAACTCACACCGGCAAAACCCCGTTGATATTCATAGACAAAGGAGTAAAAGTGAACCAAGCAGTGTATCAAAAGCTGTTGACTGACTCAGTAGCTCCAACAATCAATACGAAACTAACGGTTTTACATTGGCTCACTACTTGACTACCCTGTTGGTCCCAAGCAAACAATTAACGTACCCCATTCTAGTCGAAATTCTAGTACTACACAATGATTTTTTTGATTCACTATGAAATTTTGACAGATAAAATGAGGGGTTAGTGGATTTTCCTATGTTTCGAGGGGTGAATCGATTAGCTTGGGACCGAGGAGAGCACCAGAGCTGAGCCAAAAAGTTGAGCAAGTTTCTTCGCGACCTTCTAGTCTTAGAGTTACCTCTATGGTAGCTCCCTGGGCATCACAGCAATGGGCGATTTTGGATCGAAACACAAAAGATCGATTTTTTTGGTTCGATTAATCGATTTTTTAATCGATCTCAAACACGACAAAAATCGATCGGATCGATCCTTTTCATTCGATTTTTGTTTCGATAAAAAAATGCAGTGCATTTGCATTTGCAATTTAATATTGATTTTGTTTGTATTCACCATTGCACATCACTTTCCTTGAACATGGACGTTGAGCTGGTGAATACTAGAGTCGGTGTATAATGAGTCACGCCAAGAGTGAAGCCAAGTCTACCTATTGAACTGTCAAAGCGGATACCTATCGTGCAAAGTAAATAAACATTACGATGCTATGAAAGGTTCACGAAAGGTATTGCAATAAAATATAAAATATAATCGAAGAAATGAGCATAAACACGCAGTGAGCGTTAAATTGTCATGGGATACGCTCGGTAATGATTAGTAATGAGAATTTCTACTATTTTTTGTTAAGATAATTTGACAAAATCACTGATATAATGATTTACTACAGCTGCAGTATTTTTTCTCTCGCTAGAAGTCAGTTGAAGTTGTTGTAGAAGTCCTCTGTTGCCAAGTGAAAAGAATTGGAATCTTTCGAAAACCGTGATGCGAGTTCAACTGTTTTTCTCTTGGCGTGACTCATTATACACCGACTCTAGTGAATACATTTGCTATTGCAACGCTCCTTGATCCCCGTTTCAAGACACTGTAACTGGAGTCTTCAGCTCACGCTCGGGCAGTTAACATTGTGTCTGATCAGATCTATAGTACCGAAAGAGTAAAAAGTATACGATAATATGCACACATCTGGTCCCCCACCAAAACCAACCAGAGGCCTGTGAGATATTCACGACGAAATGGTTAAGAAAGTTGTTAATCTACATATGTACAAACATTCACTTCTTATAACATATTTCAGGTTCATCATCCTCTGCTATGTCAGAACTGGATCGCATTGGGGCCATTGGCCATCGGCAGAATTACAAAATTTCTGGCATCAGCACACTTTCACACGTTCTTCATCCTTTTCAAGTGTGGAAGAAATCCGTAGTGAATATCCCATGAACACCTCACTATTTATCACTAGTAACAAGTGACCATCTAATCGTTTTGTTTCATATGTTAATCATTGGTTTTTTTCAGTCGGTCATTTAAAATCAATAAACCAAATATTATAACCTGTTAAATCACTCACCTAACCAAGTATCCTGAGCAAAAACTTCCACATGTCAAAGTAAATCAAAATACTCGCGCAACACGCGAAAAGGACCTGTCATTGTTGATCGATTCTTTTCATCGATTATCTCTTTCACGAATAACCCGACTGCAAATGAACTTCCTATTCAGTGTGTTGATTCAGGCGCAAGCTAACATCATCTACTGTCGAACTGTGCTGCGAGCTTAGGCCGCGGCCAGGGTAGACGCGTTTCACGATGCGACGCGACCAATTCAAAATAGTCTTATTATTTATTATTATTCCTTGCGTGAGTCGCATCGCGTCGCGTCGCGTGTCGCATCTACCCTGGCCGCGGCCTTAGTGAAAAATTCGTTTATATTACCGTGATAAACCAAAGAGAAAGTCGATGAAGAACATCGATCAACGAGGATAGGCCTTTTCCAAATGTTACGCGAGAATAGTCATTTACTATATTCTCATGTATGTATGTTACACAATTTATTTTTAAATGATATCAATCATCACACTAAATGACTATTATAAGTGAAATGTCATAACAAGATGGCTTATGTAACGTAATATCAACTTGACTGAACTTGGCATTAATCTGCACCAACTTTCCTATCATCCACTATATTTGAAACATTTCTGGGCCATTTTGAAAAATGAATCGATTCGAAAGATCGATTCAAAATGATTGCTTAAATAGGTAAATCGATTATTTTCAAAAAAATAATCGATTCACTAAGATCGATTCTTACATCAAGATCACCCAATGCTGATCACAGCATTTCGGCAAGAAAGATTGGATTTTACAGCAAGACTGGGCGCCGGTTCATGGGGCAAAAAATACTATTTGTCTCTGCGAACGCCTTTTTTTCCGAGCTTTTTGACGAAAGAGGAATGGCCTTCCAACTCACCGGGTTTGAATCCAATGGTCTATCTTAGAGTCAAGAGCCTGCAGAACCCCGCATAAATTACTGGAACATTTGAAAGCATCTCTTCTAAAGGTTTGGGAAGAAATATCTTAAGAACTTGCGACCACCGTGGATACTTTCCGAAACGTTTGAAAGCCTGTCTCTCAGCATTTTGAAATGAACAAATAAGACTGTTTTTTTTCTATAAATATTGTTATAATAAACAATGTAGGGGGAATGGCTCTAATGTTGGTCTATGGATCTAAGATTTGACCCATCGCTAAAAATCTGTTATTTATTAATTTTAGCTAGATGAACTCGTCATTGGGACGGTACTAATGGATATTTTTGGTCGCTATTGAAAATTTAGTTGATTGCTATGGGCCCAAATAAGAAGCATTTAGGCCAACATTACATTCATTTCCCGTATTTTGATTTTTAAGTGGTCAATCAAAGATAATTTCAACACCATTTCGCTGTACGGATTGCATTCGGACACCCTTTACCTGTGTGGGACAGTCAAAGCTTTGTCCCACTCAAGCGAACCCCACACGTATCAATATATTGACGCGAAGGGGAATTATTGACAATAATATTGATGATGTGAATACAGAAATATTGTCAATGCCGATGTATTGACGTCAATATTGAATGTATTGACAATACGATTATTGTCAATAAAAGCAATCGTCTAGGGTCCCCTTCACGGTTTTACAGAGAACATAGTTCATAACCTGAAATAATCCTCCATTGGTAAAATCTCATCCCTCTTACTAACAGAAATTATGTCTAAAGTGCTCATACGATAAGAAAATACAGATGAATGCTCATGTGATTAAAGGGAACGCATGATGGATTTTTGCCCTAATTAGCTAGAAACTGGAGCCGAATGAAAAATGGGTGGATGTGGCCAGTATAGTTATGTGCTCTGATCGGAACTGTCACCCCATTGTCTTAAAAATTGACAGTTATACCATAGAGGTAACTCTAAGACCAGAAGGTCCCGAAGATGCATCGATTAGCTTGGGACCGAACAGAGTACCAGAGCTGAGCCAAAAAGTTGAGCACGTTTCTTTGAGACCTTCTGGTCTTAGAGTCACCTCTATGGTTATACATCGTCGTGACACGTCCTGCTGACTTGACTCTTCCGCTTCGGATGCTTCAAACATTAGATGACCGTTCGAACGAATGTGATCAATTAATCGCTTTAACCATTTTCCGCCGCAGTCAACTTCGTAGTCGATCAGCATATGGGAAATACCGGAAATAAAGTAGAGCGGTTGACCCGAGTTGAACTCACGAAAAGATCGTTCAAAATTGTCTTGACTCTCTGATCAGCGTCGTCAGGCTTGAGCAGATTTGTTCATTTGCTATTATAGCCTGTACCGACTTATGCAGATGTACCAAGTGGTGCCTTTTATTACTATTGCTTAAGCAACTTGAACTAGATCTTCAATGCATACCTCAAACCAAACCCTGTAGAGATCGATGGGCAACCAAACCCATAATTAACCTATAAATTCCGAAGCCCCGCAGCATACTCAACAGCAGAAGCGGCTCGGAAAAAAGAGCATACACATTCTACGAGAAATTTGCACTTGCCCTTTCGTTTGGTCGCCGGTGTGGCGTGAAAGCACGCTGATTTTGAAATGAAACTCGCATGCATTTCACTGCCCAAAAGAAATGCTTTGCAAACACAGAGAACGAAATGATATAATTACCCACCGAGCACGCTTGTTTACCAACAACAACTTCCACCCCTTGCTATCGACAATCGTGCAAATATGGATGAGCTTCAGCAGCATATCGCATGTTGATCAATGCATACACAAGTTGGAAGGCATCATAACATAGTATAAAACCAACTCCACCGCGGTGGTTGGTTATCAGTCATCAGCCACCGTTCGAATTCAGTGCACTGCTTCGAAGCACCTGTTTGTTTATCCCACGCAAATTTGTTGAACGAGCTCAATCATGAAGGTAAAACTTTTCTGCACCTGCCATGCCAACACTAATTAATTTCTTTTCCCTCCCGGCAGGCGTTCATTGTAGTTCTGCTAGCGATGGCCATTGCTTTGGTGGCCAGTTTCCCGGCTGCGGACATTAGCGGGTCCGCCGATCTGGAAAGGGCAAACCGGGTGGCCAGGAGCAGCGCGTGGGATGAAGACCATGGCACCATCAAGGAAATCACCGTTCACAAGACAGTTCACGTTCCCTATCCGGTCGAGAAGAAGGTCCCGGTTGTGATCGAAAAGAAGGTCCCAGTGTACATCACCAAGACGATACCGGTATCGATTAAGATCAAGCACATCAGACATAAGCACTAGAAGTTGTAAGATAAGGCTGTTAATATATTTTGTAGCTACAAATTGTCGCGTTTCATTCACTCAAATCACGGGGGAAAAAATCTTTAACGTATCTACTTACACCACCCGATATCGAAGCAATCATCATAAATTAAACCATCAAATAAGTAACTCAACATAAGTAACACCCCCCCTCGAACTACCGATTTTTTAGTCACGAGCTCCAAAACGATAAATAATGATTGTAGAGACAAAAACAAGACAGCTCTGTCGTGAGAAGACATTAGCGAGCAAACCGAAAGTCAGCTCAATTGGGTAACCCTTTGTTTTTAAAGTACACGGGGAGCACCGACAGGCACCGAATATAATCGGTTAAAGTTGCCGTTCGTTGGTTCATAGGTGGTGGGTGGTCTAAAATTAGCATAATGAAACCAGCAGTAAGTTTGTCGAATGCTGTAGGAAGTTGCGTTGAAGGGTGAACAAGGTTCACCTTGACCATGGACGTTTGCAGATTGGGGATTGGTTTGGTCACTGTTCCAAAGGCACCCCGAACAGGTTCAGTTGTATCCAATGTGAACCTACCGTATGCGTGATAATGTTTGCACCATTAAGCAAAGTCAAAATTAAAAAAATTCTCAAAAATTTCGTTTTTGAGTTTTTTTTATTTGTTCAAAGGGGGGATGTTTCTCAGAGTCTTAACAATGTTAATCATCGATCGAGTTTCCACTTGCTGCAATTACGGCCTCCAAACGCTTCCGGAATACACGGCAGGTTCTAATAATGTAGTCTGGATCCATTTCTCTCCAGGTACGGGTCAATGTTTGTCTGAGGCTTGCTGTACTCGGGTGGCGTTTAGAACAGAACTTGGCCTTCATGACGCGCCATATTGAGTAATCCAGCGGATTAAGATCGGGGCTGGATGGCGGCCACATATCCTTCGCCCAGAACGGAAGATGTTCCTGCAACCACTTCTGAGTGCGGTTCGAGGTGTGGCACGGAGCCCCATCTTGTTGAAATACAACATTTGGCTTCGGACCGTACTGTTCTTTGATCCACGGAAGAACATACTTACTTAAAATCCCGATGTAGACCTCCGTGTTGACCTTGTCGCCTTCTGGAATGACCACCAATTCCATTTTTTTGCCATCGGAAGCCCCCAATCCAAACACCATAACGCTAGCAGGATGTTGGTCAGATAAAAGTTCTTGTGCTCGTCGGCCACGTCTTTTACCGGAAGAGAACTAGTATACCCGTCAGTTCTGGAATTTGATACGGGATCGACGGTAAACATGCTCTCGTCGGAGAACAGGATTACCGGATTTTTTCGCTTAAGGAAGTTCAAGATTTTCGTGAGTTTTTTCCGTGCCCTCGATTTCGCTCCGCAATCTTCCTTTAAGATCTTGCGTGCCGTAAAGTCACTGATCCCGTGTTCCTTTGCCATTTTCCTTATTGAACGCACTGGATTCACCCGAATCTTCCTTTTGATAGCAGCGATAACCCTCGGAACCCGAGCTGACCTCGGACGACCTGTGGCCACCTTCGCGGATAGTTGTCGTTTCTTCTCTCGATCTAAAACCCTTTTGACAGTCCACCAAGACACTCCCACGGCGATTGAAATGTCTTTTTGCGACATTTGCGCGTGGGACAAATCACGAATACGCTGCCACTTCGTCATGGTGCAACTGTCAAACTAAGGAAATAATTTTATTTCATACATAGCCTACTACGGTATGAACTGGTTACGTGCATGCAAAGAAAACCAACGCATTGTATGCACAGGTGAAACGGGAACCTTCTTTGTACGATGGTGCAAACATTATCACGCATACGGTAGGTACTCGATATGTCCACCAACGTTGGTGGCAACTGCTAAGATTCTTTAACGGAACTTTTCTCGGAATTCTCGGAGAAAACCATAGTTATCCGTACTGTCCACGTAGGAAAGAATCGTATCGTTTTCGGGGATTGAGTATTGCAACGATTTTTGTCTGAAATTATTAATTATTTTGTTGGACATTTGTTCTAAAGTCCCAACAATTGAAACTCTTTGATAGTAGTGTACCAGGGAGACAACTACAAATTTTGCTCTAAATCCTTTGAAGTGCTTTTTTTCCTGGTAGTGCAACAATTAGACCATATTGGCGCATAAAGCATAAAGCATGGCCGGTCTAAAATCTTGTTTTTATATTAGAAGTCTATTCTTCAGACAAAGTATGGATTTTCTGTATATAAGAGGATACAAACACATAATATATTTATTAAATTTTCCTTGAATGCCCTCAATGCGATCTTTTAAAGTTAATGTTTAGCTAAGTACTAATCCAAGATATTTCACTTGGATTGACCATGAAATTGAAACTCCGTTCATAGTGACTATGTGACTACTACTAGGTTTCAAGAACGAAGCTCTAGGCTTATGTGGGAATATTAAAAGTTGAGTTTTGGAAGCGTTGGGAGAAATCTTCCATTTTTGTAAATAAGAAGAGAAAATATCTAAACTTTTCTGCAGTCTGCTGCAAATAACACGAAGACTTCTTCCTTTAGCGGAAATGCCTGTGTCATCGGCGAACAAAGATTTGTGGCAGCCCTGGGGCAAATAAGGGAGGTCCGAAGTGAAAATGTTATACAATATAGGCGCAAGAATGCTTCCCTGAAGAACTCCTAATCTGAAAAGTAGTCGTTCAGATTTGGAATTTTGATAATTTACCTGCAGATTTTTGTCAGTTAAATAATTTTGAACTATTTTCAGAATATGGAGCGTAGAATTAAACTTTTTCAGTTTAGTTATCAAACCATCATGCCCACCACTCGAATGCTTTTTCTATGTCTAGAAGAGCAACTCCAGTGAGCAGCCTTCAGATTTTTTTGAACTAATTAAATTGGTAACTCTTAAGAGTTGATGAGAAGTTGAATGCCCATGGGGAAATCCAAACTAGTCATCTGAAAATTTAGTTCGTATTGATGTGAAGCATCATGCTAGTAAAAATAATCTTTTCAAAAAGTTTACATAAGTTGGGTCCAATAAGTCCACCGTCCAGGTGGCAACAAACTTCAGCTGGATCTTTATCCGTCTTCAAATTTGAAACAACTTTTGCATTTTTCTATTTATCAGGAAACTATGCCAAATGGAAACATCTGTTAAATAATTTTACCAAAAAAGACAAGGTACTCTCTGGGAGTTTTTTGATGAGGATATAGAAAATTCCATCATCACCTGGAGCTTTCATATTATGAAACTTTTTAGTTTTAGACCTTACTTCGTCCAAATCAGTCCCCCAGGAATCATCAAAAATATTTTCCCGAGAGAAAATATTCAGATAATCCCGAGCAATCTGCTTCTCAATAGGACTAGTAAGACCCATACTGAAATTATGGGAACTCTCGAATTGCTTAGCAAGTTTCTGAGCTTTTTTCAAATTTGTGATCAAAATTTTACCAACTTCTTTATGCGCTGGAATAGGCTTTTGAGGTTTTTTTTTCAAATTTTTTGTAAGTTTCCAAAAGGGTTTGGAATTCTGCTGAAGATCGTCGTCTATTATAATTGAATCAAATTTAACCTCGCATTTTGGTACTGAGGCAGCTCTTGCTTCATCTATAGAAGAAGTCAGAGATTCAAGAGCATAATTAATTTCATCTTTGGTTTGCAAAGGAATGTTTGGATCGAAGTTATGTTCCATAAATGATCGATATTGCTCCCAATCAGCTCTATGGTAATTGAAAGTAGAGCTGTTGGGATTAGAAATTATTTCTTGGGATATTTCAAAAGTTACTGGAAGGTGATCAGAACCGAAGTCAGCATGGGTAACAAATTGGCTACAAAATTGACATGAATCAGCTAGGACCAAATTAATAGTTGAGGGTTTGCTTGCTGAAGAAAAGCATGTTGGGCTGTTTGTATATTGAATAGTGAAATAACCTGCAGAACAATCATCAAACAGAATATTACCATTGGAATTGCTTTGAGCAATTATTACATTTTATATCAGTTTTCCAACAAACGATTGCATCAATTTTATCCAAATTTTGCCGACTGAAACTCAAAAGCAAATTCTGGTCAGAATTTCAGAAAAGTGTATTCGGGTAAAAGGTTATTGTGAAAGAATTTTCATTTAGAAGTCAAGAACATTTTTTCATTGCAATTATTTTTTATCTGAAAATCATCGGCAATAACTTCGAAGAATACGTTTGAAACGGATTTACTCCAAATGTTCATGTAAGTCTAAAAATAGTGTGTCTTTCTAGCTCAAACTAATTCACTTTACACAGCCGAGGATTCTTGGTCACTATACAATACATCTTTTTTTTTTTAACTAGTTCGTTTATTTACTAGGCTCAGTCGTGTGTGACACTTTGCGGAGCCAAAATCAGTAATGTTTGATTTACATTTTAAATAGCAGTATTTCTAGGTTAGTATTGGGTACCAATTACTCGTGGCGAGCTCGAGGTTAATGGGTAACAATTTCAATTGGAAGGATCTAGGTAGGAAACTGGTTTCTGAAGCCTCCTTCAGATACTACTCTCGGACGGTTGACCAAATCCTGACTGGGCAGGGGCAAGTAGCACAGGAACAGGAGGATAATAAGACTGGGACACAATGGCGGGAAATTGTTTGGAAAGGAGGGGATAGTCACATCAAACTCTAACATCAGACAAACAAAGGAATTCGTAGATCGCTTGCATGTAGGGAAGATCACGTGTTCCCAATACATCTCTTACTTCACGGAAGGGTTGTCTACCTCGGGCCACTAGGGTATCCAATAGTCGTGCTCTGGAGGCGTCATTACCCGGGCAATACCAAACTGCGTGATGGATGTCATCATAACCGGTTCTGCACCTACATATATTGCTGTCAACGAGGTTTATTCTATAGAGATGTGCGTCTAGCGAGTAGTGGTTGGACATAAGTCTTGACATCACTCGAATGAATCCCCGACTTACATCCAGACCTTTGAACCAAGCTCTCGAAGAAACATTTGGAATAATGGAATGTAACCACCGCCCAAGAGAATTATTTGTCCAATCGTTTTGCCAACTTAAAAGAGAACTCTGATGTTC